TATCATCAATCATGGAATTTACAGACTTGGGTCCTACCACTATCGAACTACAAATAGAATGTTTGTCATAAGTTCTTTACCACATTTGAAAACGAAACTAATTCTCAACACACCAATACAATTTTATTCTTGCATAGGCACATAGAAGAAGATAGATATGTAGATGTCTGCTAGTGTTTATATAACAAGGCCATCAATATCCATTGATGAGTACCTTAGTTGGATTTAGGTTTCTTTTGGTACAAAGCACAAGATAGAGGACGACATATAAGAGGACATTAGACTTGTGCTGTATGAAGTGCTCTCATTCCTCTCTGGTAATATCCCCAGTGTGTGTCTGCGTAGTCTTTCACCTTCTTAAATAGCCTGAGTCTTTTTTCATCAACCAATCCATCTTCTGGTCCGATCTCTTTTCCTTTTTCAGGTGTGTAGAACATGGCAACGGAAATCCTGTCCCTCTCCGAGTTACTCAGTACCCGATGCACTGGGCTTTTGAACACTCCATTCGTCATTATCTGTTAGTATCACAGAGATCCGATAGGAAAATATAACCATGTGTTAATTGTTCTGTAACAATTTTTCTTCATGCATCATTGTACAATTGATTTGATTACTGGGGACTGTTTACATCTTGTTTGGTAAATTTCTTGATTCTTGTTTTTGTTTTAAAAAGTTTGATTTGGTAATTGTTTTCACCGTAAAAAGTGACAACAATTCCAAAATTTTCAATTTTTGTGGAGTATAAACGACTTTTTTATTGCCACACCCCACCGGTCAACACTGCCATCCAACACATCCAGCTTCCGCCCCTCACCTGCCAACACCCCTAGCGACCACCTCTGGCCATCCATACTACCGACTATCACATCTAGTCACTTATAGCCAACTCCCATTGCTGGTCTCCACTGCCACTCAGTTTTTACCACCACCTCCAGCATTCCCTCCACTGCCACTCATTTTTTACCACCACCTCCAGCATTCCCTCCACTGCCAGTCACCACTTCCGACAACCAAATTTGGCCACCCCCACCATGACTACCACATCCAAGCGCTTACAGCCAGCTCCTACTCTGGGTCTCCACTGCCAAACCACCACCTCCAAAAAATCACCAAACATATTTTATTGTTTGTATTTTTCTATTTTGAAACTATGTGAAATAAACATTTTTTTTTTTTGGTTATAAAGGAAGAAATAATAAAAACAAAAACATGAAACTCACAACACCAAACGTCAAAAATTGTAGATATATCTCTATGGCGGGTCTATAGACTTGATTCTGCTCATTATGATATTGGTATAGCCCTATGGAGAGACCATATGGCATTGGATGAATCTTCTCAACCACCTTCTGCTGACAGTTTGGTGGCTCATGCATCATTTGGTTTAGTTCTGTTCGGTTATGTTTTCTTTTTCTGTTTTCTGTTTTCATTTTTGAAAAACACATATCATAGATGAAGCATCAGAGAGTAAGCAGAGAGACAATTAATATATATTTTTACCTCCATTTGGTCAGCCATGAGAATGAAGAGAGCGTGAGGAATTTTGGGAACTGTATACCATTTCTCATTGTTGAAGACTTGAAGACCTACTTCATCTTGCAAGATCACAGTGTATCCTGACCCATCTGCATGAGGTTTCAAGCCCAGAATCAGATCAGGCCTCTGACATTTCGAGTAATAGTTAAACCTCGCTTGCATGATCGATCGTTTGCCAAACTGTTTCAGAAAACAGTTTTCTTCCAGATTTAGTGACTTTGCCATGGCTTTGGAGGTTAGCTCTGTTACTATTTTCATCTTCTCTGTGTATTCACTTAGCACATCTCTGCATAGTTGCAAACAACTTCTTGATATTATTTTCTAATAATTAACTTGAATATGATATGAGAAAGAAATTTACACCTATAAAAAGTCCTGTTTGAAGCTGCTTTAATTCCCTCACTTGGGTATGTGCTGGAAGATTGTAATTGTTTATCCTTAGTAAAGATAATTATGATATGATTATGTGGCTGTTTTATCTTAATCTATTAGGGTTGAAAACGGGTATTCAGAGCTTTGTTTTAATTAATTTTTAGATATAGGTAGTCACTTGTCTCACACGTATGGTTTTGAGAATGACCCTAAGGGGTCAAGTGGTTCATGAGATTCAAACTCATGATGACCTATCCTTCTGAGTATTTAATGAGCTTCCAAAATAATATCACAGTAATATCTCACAAGTGGTTTAAAAAAGGGCATGAGATCATTAGTCTCACTCTTTGTACGTACCCCTTTTCAGTGGCCTCCGGCCTCCTCTCCCTTCCTCCTACCCCTCTTTCTCTTTCTTTTCCATGCTTTCTATTCAATAATTTGGAAGTTTTTGTCTTTCCACCCTTCTCCCTCCTTTTGTGAGGTGTTTATGTCCTCTTTTGCCTCAACTCCGACCATGGCCTTCACCGGATCCGCCGTCTCTCCTCCCCTCCACTCCACTCCGACGTCGCCTCCATGTTCTGCACCTCCTGTTCAGCCACTATTGCCTAATGTTCGCTTCATTTTTCCGCCAAATCTATTACCGCCCTCCCCCAGATCTGCCACCTTCCACCATCGGTCCGTAGTAGCCGCTGCCTGGTAGTTATGGGTTTGAGGGTTTGTGTTTTTGTTTTTTTGCTTCTTGGTATGTTCATAGCTTGCCCACATTGTTTAAATATAGCTTATGAATTTATCTCTGACTTATTCTAGCATTGAGTTCTTATGATCTACCTCTGTTTTGCAGCATGAATGTTATTTCTTGATCTATCCATAGCTTATCTTAGGTGCTTCTTTTGGGGATTTTACTTTATTTTGCACAAGGTTTTTCCTTGATTTGGTATAAGCTTGTTGATGATTTCCTTGTAAGTGCCGTTTGGCAATCTTTGCTTTAATGGAAATTTCTTTGATTTTAAAAAAAAAAATGTCGCATTAATTTCATTAACACTTTGAATTATGCAACTCAAAACACTCAAACATGAATCAAAAGCAACGCGTAGTTATGCAATAACACTTGCTCACATATCAGTGACACTACTTAAAATGAATATAAGTTGATATCATTGTTACATTTAATATTTATTTATCGAAGTTAAGGTTGCCGGTAGAGATATATATATATACACCTGAAAGAAGTTGGGGTTTGTGGCCAAAATTGAAGCTTCCTTTGATCTGGAGGGCACACATCAAGAAACAAACGATCAGACCAGTCGAGAGACTGGCCTTGTTCAGGGACAGGGTCAGCACCATACCCTTCAAACTCTACAACTGTTTTTGAGTATTTGTTCTTCTCTTCCATAGGCTGTTCAAAGAACTCCCTTGTCACTTTTCTTATCTCATCCAAGAATGAACTTGATATCCCATGCCCTATTGCCTGAACAATCCACAATTTTTAACCTTATACATTAATTACACCACAAAATTATGTTGAATTTGTAAAAATGAAGAACATAAGATCAAAGACAGTCAAGGTGCACCACCACAAAGTATAAAGGCTAGGTATTAGGTAGTGTTTGATAAAATTGAAAAGAAAGTGATATACATTTGAGAAAATATCATTTCGCCCCCCAAATTTTCACGCATATTTTAATTTGACCAGTAAATTTCGATTAATATCAATTTCACACCCAAACTTTCAAAATTTTAATTAATTTGACCCCTGCCGTCACATTCTGTCTTCAATTGGACAGATTGGTGCTGATGTAGGGGGCAAATTGATTTTTAAGGTATAGTTTGGAGAGCAAATTGATTTTTAAGGTGTAGTTTGGAGGGTAAAATGAAATTTCAAATGAACTTTGGTGTCACGTCAGCACATTTCGTTTAATTGTAACCGGAATGTAACAGCAGTGACCAAACTGATCAAAATTTCAAAAATTTGGGTGTAAAATTAATATTAATCGAAGTCGAATTAAATGATATTAAAAACGAGTGAAAATTGATATTAAAAAACGAGTGAAAATTTCAAAAGTTTGGATGAAAAATTGATATTAAAAAACGAGTGAAAATTTGGGGGACAAAATGATATTTTCTCTATACATTTTTATAGTTGGTGCACCACCTCTTAAAGGGGCGTATGAGGTGAAAGTACGGTGTCAAACAAACTAATCTATTTGACTCGTGTTCAATTTCTTAAAAGTTTATTCGAGATTGACACATTAAGTAAATAAGTCAAACTTCGTTAAGTTTTTAAGCTGAACTTGAACAATCTACTATTCATCCCGATCAATTTACGTGTAATATAAAAAATCAAGCTACTCCAGCTTGACTTGTGTTCGGCTCTTTAAAAACTTATTTGAGATTGGTCTGTTAGGTAAACAAACCAAGCTTAAAGAACCTGTTAATTGACTCAACGCGGCTCATTTTCAGCCTTATGTGAAAGTGATACAATTTCATAGTTGAGGGGAAAAAACATACGGATTCATAGATGAGAAAGGTAAAGTGATATTTACTAATAATTAAGGGGCCTTGGTGTAAACAACCCTAAATAATTTGTTAACATAAAGAAGAAGAGGGTTTTTGAGAAAGTAGAGAGACCTGAAAGCAGCCCCATGTGTGGAGTGCTGAATTGAGTTTAAGCAGTTCCTCCTCATATTCTTTAGTGAATGGTTCTTCTGAACAAGAGAGTATACCCATATCAATTATCGGAACCGGAGAAGAAAAATTATCACCACCATCACCACCACCACCACCATCACCATCACCATCAGTTGCATCATGATCATCTCTGGAAATATACAGTGCAGGAGGCTCGTCGCCGTGGAGGACCATTTCTTGTACACGCTTTGCAAGTAATACTTCTGCTGCTGGTGCTGGATCTGAAACTCCAACCATGTTTTCTGATCAGTTTCAGTTGTCAATTGAAGAGAGCCCTTTTTTGGTTGGGGATGAATTATCTTTGATCCATGCTATGCTTAGCAATGGATATATCTCTGTGACTCAGAGAGAGAGAGAGAGAAACTTTGCTAAAAGGTAATTTACATGGGCTGGCTTTAAGGTGACTGACTAACTAGTCATCTTTGGATTTTCTGTTATTGTGGCTAGGAAAAATGCGGCAGACCCCACCAAAACCGATCACGTGGCACTGGGTGATTGGAAGGAAAGAAAAAAAAAAGAAAAAAGAAAACTGGCCAATGAGATTGAGCTGGGGTGCCCCAGCTGGGGTCCCTAACACTTCTGTTGTTGCTAGCTACTGGCCAAAATCCAAAAAAGAAAAATGTTTAGCAATCACAAATTTTATACAATTTTTTAGAAGTGATATTTTTTAAGCAATAATATTATAAATTCAAACTTATAAATTCAGAATTTACGCAGAAAAAAAAAAATCAATAGTTCAAATTTATTTCATTTGTGGACCTTACGCTTCATCAGTTTAATCTCCACTACACAAACACATTCAAGGTAAATTCGGAGTCTGTAAGGATGGGTTCTTAGCATTTTTCTTTTTTAAATAATAAGTTATTTTTATAAGTATTTTTATTTAAAATAAATAGCTTAAATTACACTCTCGGAGATTTGAGTTTAATACATATCACCCCTTTATACTTGGGAAATTACACTAATCCATGTCATTGTAATTATTTAGACGGAGCAGAAAAAAAAAATCAATAGTTCAAATTTATTTCATTTGTGGACCTTACGCTTCATCAGTTTAATCTCCACATTCAAGGTAAATTCGGAGTCTGTAAGGGTGGGTTCTTAGCATTTTTCTTTTTTAAATAATAAGTTATTTTTATAAGTATTTTTATTTAAAATAAATAGCTTAAATTACACTCTCGGAGATTTGAGTTTAATACATATCACCCCTTTATGCTTGGGAAATTACACTAATCCATGTCATTGTAATTATTTAGACGGAATGAAAATATTGAACTCATGCACTCTCTCTTTTCTTATTTTGATTTACTTCCTTTGTTGTTTTTTCCCTTTGCTTTGCTTTACTTTTTTATTTTTTTAATGTAATTTTCTCTGTTTTTCTATTAAGAATTGTTTTTTATATAAGTAGGAAGTTTTTGAAATGAGACTATTAACCACAAGAGTGAGAATGTAATTTTTAAAATGTTAGAAGGTGGGATATAATTGGACTAAATCTCAAGCAGTGTCAATGTAATTTATGCAAATAAATAGATACAAATCTTGTGTCCTAATTCAGTATAATATAGTTTTATTTGTTTGTATCTCATCAATTAATAAAACTTGTTGGGCAGGGCTTCTTTCCAGTCCACTTTATGGATTGGACAGTGTTGTTGGGCCTGTAGAGTTCACCACGGGTTCCATTTTGATAATCTAAACTATTCAATGTGTAGAGCTTATCGATTATTTCATTTCTGCAAAAAATCACGTTGATCGAATATCGATAAGTATTTGATCATAACACATTTTTGTCAATAATTTATTTTTAAAATTATATTTATCATTGATAAAAATATGATCCGATATTGATATTTAATCAACATAATTTATTATACAGATAAAACACTTAACAAATTCTACACATTAAACAATTCAAATTATCAAAATAAGACTCATAATATGCCCTACAGGCCAACAGCACCAGAAGCCTTGCCTAAAATTGTTAATGGACCAAAAGTAATTATGTATTTGCACAAACAAAAAAAAAATTAAAAAAAAACTTGGGTCAAATTATTTCAGTACTTGATGGGCCGTGGAGATGTGAATGCATGCCAAGTGATGTTAGGCAATATTTTGAAAATTAGGCTGGTAAGCGAACTGAAAAAAGAATTGAGTGGATGGGTTACTAGTTCAACCGTCAAGTTGAAACGCTCGAACCGTGAATCATAATTAATATTATATAATTAAAAATATAATCATAAATTATAAATAAATAAAAATATATATAATTACTAAAATAATAATAAAAAAAAAGTGTTGCATAATATTTACTAATAATATTTAATAAAGTCATAATTGATAATAAAAAAAAGTCACTAGTTTTCAAGAAATTAAAAAAATTTAACATTTTCTCCAAACAAATTGATTGAATGTTAAATTTAATTTTGGAGGAAAATTAAATTTTCAACTATCCCTCCAATCAAATATGATTCAAACAATTTGATTGAATCTCACATTGAAATTTTAGGTTCTCTTTGAACAATTTTTTTCCTAAAAATAGGAATAGACTTTTATAATTTCTTCAAGCTTCCAATGAGACTCCTCCTCGTTAGAGGAGACTCTTAAAGCAAGAGTTTTTAATCAAAATTTTGATATATATATATATACACACACAAGAAAGCAAGAAAGAAAAGAAGAAAAATAATAAAACAAAACAACCATCGAGGTTGGTCGAGAACCAATACGCCGATTTTACTGGTTGAATCACCGATTTTTCTGATTTTTGCAAATAAGGCCGGTTTTTGGCCAAGTTCGGTTTTTGTGGATTAGCCGAACCAGAACTAGGTCCGATTCTACCGGTTGAAGTAGCCAGTGCGGTCCGGTTCTTAAAACATTGATAATAAGGCCGGTTTTTGGCCAAGTTCGGTTTTTGTGGATCAGCCGGACCAGAACTAGGTCCGGTTCTACTAGTTGAACTGGCCAGTGCGGTCTGATTCTTAAAACATTGATGCTAGGTATATTATTGCTGATACTTATCTGATTTCAGAGATATTACCAAGTCACAACATTTGTTTGATTTCAGATATTACCAAGTCCCTTTTTCTTTATATATATTTTTTATTTAGTGAATTTTGTTGGTTCTAATTTCGCTTGTACTATTGCAAAAATGTGAGCCTATGATAGGGATAATTTTCGTGCCTTTAGGAATTTCACATTGGCAATGTTTCCACCAATAATAAGGGTTAAAAATTACAAGGCACTAAAAATAAAAAAATAATGGAGAAATGACATGATCTCGTTAGATACACACATGACTACGTGGTCTTTCTAATCCATAGGATAACATTTCTACTATCATAGGCCCACTTTGATGAACCACCGATTTTTCTGGTTTTTGCAAACAAGACGGGTTTTTGGCCTAGTCCGATTTTTGTTGATAATCCGGACCAAAACTAGGTTTAATCACTAGTTCTACCGATTTATCCGGCAATCCGGTCTTGTTCTTAAAACATTGATGCTAGGTATATTATTGCTGATACTTATCTAATTCTAGAGATATTACCTAGTCACAACATTTGTTTGATTTCAAATATTACCTAGTCACAACATTTGTTTGATTTCAAATATTACCATATCTCTTTTTCTTCAGATGTATTTTTTATTTAGTGAATTTATTGGGTCTAATTTAACTTGTAGTATTGGAAAAATGTGAGCCTATGATAGGAGTAATTTTCTTGTCTTTTAGGAATTTCACGTTGACAATTTGTCCAATCAATAATAAGAGTTAAAAATTACATGGCACTAAAAATAAAAAAAATAATGAAGAAATGACATGATCTCATTGGATAAACACATGACTACATGGTCTTCCTGATCCATAGGAGAACATTTCTGCTATCATAGGCCCACTTTGATAAACCACGGGTTATTTTCGATTTTTGCAAACAAGGCCAGTTTTTGGCCTAGTTCGGTTTTTGTTGATCATCCTGATCGAAACTAGAACCGGTCACTGATTCTAACGATTGAACCGACCAGTCCAATCCGGTTCTTAAACATTGATGCTAGGTATATTATTGCTAATACTTATATGATTCTAGAGATATCACCCAGTCACAACATTTGTTTGATTTCAGATATTACTAAGTCCCTTTTTCTTAATATTTTTTTTTATTTAGTCAATTTCGTTGGTTATAATTTCACATGTACTATTGGAAAAATGTGAGCTTATGATAGGAGTAATTTTCTTGTCTTTTAGGAATTTCACGTTAACAATGTGTCAAATCAATAGTAAGGATTAAAAATTACATGGCACTAAAAATAAAAAAATAATGGAGAAATGACGTGATCTCGTTGGATAGACATATGACTACGTGGACTTCCTGATCCATAGAATAACATTTCTGCTATCATAGGCCCACTATGATTGTAACGATGTAGAATTTTTCCCTCTGCTCGAGCGGGGGAGTTGACGCTCGAGCGGACTTGTGAGGCTTCCAGCATTTTTGCAGACAGCCCGAGATTCTGTGAGTTGTGAATTTCCGCTCGAGCGTGGGAGTGGTCGCTCGAGAGGACAACTTTGTTAGTCTGCGCGCGCTCGAGCGTAGGAAGCGACGCTCGAGCGTGGAAAGTGAGATTGCCCTTGACATTTTTCTTAGTGTATTTGGAACCTCCTTATTTTATTTTGGGGTATTAATTGAGGTGGTAATATGATGGTAAAGTAAGATTGGACCAAAAACTTTAATTCGGATAATTTTTCTATGAATAGCTGTCACTCTTTTACCCTTTTCTTTTTCCACACTTTGAATTTGGATGTGAGGCTAGAACCATTGGAAAGATTATTTTCGGGGCTTCAATTTGGACACAAAAACGACCTAAAACGGAGTCCGGATAGGAGAGTTATACCCGTTCGAAGTTTTCATATCTCTGCTGGAAGCGGGTACGCTCGAGCGTGGAAAGATACGCTCGAGCGGACAGCGCGAATTCAACAAGTTTATAGAGACTTTTCTAGATAATTCTTGATACTTTTCATCTCCTCTCTTCATCTCTCTCACCTAGGTCCAAAAACCCTAGGTCTTTGACCTCTAATGCCTCATATTTCCCTTTGGATTGATCAAGATCTTCCACCAAAAAGTGAAGAAGGCTTGAAGAACTCACTTTTCAACCGATTGGATTCCGGATTGGTGAAGGATTCTTCTTGGAGCTTCGTTCTTTTGCTTGATTCGCGAGGTAGGGGTCCTAGTTCCCTTTCAATATTTGCATTAATGGATGGATTTGTGGTATTTTGACTATATAAATACAAAATTCATATTTTTGAGTATATAGTGTCCAACATGAGATTTGGGGGTTTAGGGTTTGGAATGTTAGGGGTGCAATTGTTGGATTAAGATGATGGATTAGGAACCATAGATGGGTAATCAATGGGAAAATT